GAGAGGATTTTTTTCAAAAAAAGCTTAATTAATTTTCTTTAACAACACATTTTTGGAAAAGGCTTGATTTTAATCAAATGATTTCTTTTTCATTTTTTTTTTACTTATAAATACAACCTCTGAATGTTTTTAAAAAAAAAATTGGGAGAGTGATCATGATCATGATCATGATCAATGATCAAAAGATTTATACAACGCAATCAATTTTGTGAAACGAAAATTTTCCTTTTCAAAATATTGCCAATCTTTTCTAAATTGTTACAAAGTATGTTGCACTGATTTGATTGAGTTGTATTCTTTAAAAAAATAAATCAGTTTAGTGAGATCTGATGCACTAAAAATGATCCGTACGTGATTGTGGATGAGCAGATGAAGAATGCAAGAAAAAATTATAACAAAACAATTGGATATAACAGATAATGTATATATCTGATGTCGTGTATTACTATCATTGCGTTTTGACCCATGATAACAAATAACTAGAGAATACTATTACTACAGAAACAATTAAAATTTTTTATATCTTTTAATTTATTTTGAAATCTCGATTTTTTTTTTATTTTTAAAAAAAAAAAAGTTTATATAATAAATAATAAATAGGTTTCTATTGTGATATATATAAATCTGTCATTTAAATGCTTTAAAATATGTATAAATTAATGAATGAATGATTGGAATTAAATTAAATAAATAAACAAATAAAATAAAAATATACATATGAAATGATTAAAATAATGAATATGTGTGTGTATGTATGTATAAATCATTTATAAAAAATAAATAAAATATTGAATAAATAAATACAAATTTTTTAATCTGACTTTCTTTTTATGATATACTAGGAAGAGATCAATTCCTATGTTTACTAATGTTTTTATAAAAAGCCGGATTCTTGTAATAACCTTGCAATTTTTTCGTCCTCTCGTTCCCTATTTAGCATAAGTCTTTTAATATAATATAATTACTAAAATCTATATATAAATGATAAGTTAATTTACCTAGGCTCTATTTCTAAGCTCAGTTCATATAAATCTCTTATATCTTTACTATCTTCTAAATTCTTTTTTATAAATTCTTGTATCTCTGGTACCTGTTGTAGATTATATGGCACAGATTGATATTGTTGTATTTCTCTTATTATATCTGCGGTTTTCATTCTTTTCGAAAAATTTATTAATTTATTGCTATTTTTAAGAGTATTTGGATTACCGTCTTCAACAAATGTAAGATCTGTTAAATAAACGCCTATGAACAAAAAAAAAAGATTATTTATAATTAATAAAATTAAAAATTTTATTAAAATCATCTTTAAAAAAAATTTTTTTGGTTACCTAAAAATGGAACACAAGGTGGATTGATACTATGCAATTGTTCTCTGTATACAGCAAAACTTTTTGAAGGATTCATTAAACTAACCAACGATTCAAGCAACAGTAATGTTTTTTGATGGACTAGCTCCCATGTTCTTCTAAGTCTGTGAACAGGAGCAGAGTTTAATCCCGAGATGATGGCTGTCAATGAATTAAAATTATTTAAACTTCTACATTTATCTGCTATTAATATAAAATGCTTTATAAGTGCGCATCTTCCTCTTAATTCGCTAATATTTAAAATTGATTCCGCAACCCATCCAGTTATCTTGTAATAAAATATTGATTAATTCAATCTTAATTGAATTGAGTTTATATTTTAACTAGATAATTAATTAATATTTACCTGATTACTATTAAGAATCATAGCCTTAATATTCACAGCAATTGTACTAGCTTCTTCTTTGCTCCAAGCTTTATTTAAACATTCAACAGGTCTTATTTTATTATACAGTTTACTCTCAATAATTGTAAGCTGTCTTGCTAATTCCAAAGGTTCTAAATCTAAAAATTTTACTTTTTTAAAATTTCTAGGTACAATGGGTGGAGGAGGTTGTGTAGACATGGTTAGAACTAAATCTCTAAATTTGGCTTGTTTTGGTTGTTGTTGCTATAAATAATAAATAAAGATTTATTAGAAATAAATTTTAATTTATAATAATAATAATAAATGGAATTTAGCTTACTCTTCTATTAATTGCTTTAATTAAATTATTAGTAGCAAAAGACATATGTTCCTTCACTATTGTATTAGTAAACTCGCGCATATCTTCTAAACAATGACTATCATCTCCATCAATATAATAAGTTTCCAACCATGTTTTCATTATATTATAAACTCTTAATCTTACAGGCTTTTGTTTCTTTTCTTGCCAAATTTTCAGCTCTTCACTACTTAATCTTTCTGGTGGTTGAATAACAAATCTGTCAACTAAATGTCTAAAAAATTCATCTGTAGTACAAAATGATCTATAAGTCAACAAAAATGTTGCTATAAAATTAGAGTCCAATTGATCATGACTAGTCAACCTCTCAATTAATGCTTTAAGTGTTCCACCTTTCACTTGCGTTTCCATATTAAAAACTATGTCAGAATGATCATAATCATACTCAAGAAACCATGGTTTTTCATTTAATTCAGGAAGAACTTCTACTCCAAAAAATTTAGATACTTTATTTTGTTTGCGAACTAATTTATCATTAGCTGTCGAATCGATTGGTGACAAAGGAGGCGATAAATCGTAGGAGTAATCAGATGATGCAGAAATCAGAGGTGGTAACGACTGCGAAGGTTCTTGTGAATTATAATTAATATTGTCGTTGATATTATTATTATTATTATTATTATTATTATTATTATTATTATTATCGTCATTAATAGCGTTAATATCAATGTTATTATTTCCTTTAATTACGTTCTGATCCTTAAATTCTATTAACGACACAGGATTTTTTTCATAATGATTATTATTATCATTTTTGTTCAAAGTCAAATTTTCAGAAGAAGAAGAAGAAGAAGAAGAAAAGTTATTATTTTGCATTAAATAATCTCTATTCTGTACTCTTGATTCCTTTTCTTCCAATAGGAACTTTAGTGCTATTATAACATCTTTTACTGATTTTTCAACAATATTTGCTGAATTTATAAGTTCTTCTAAAACATCACGTTGATTCAAAGGATCAATCGAAGCCTGTATAACAATTATTAAACTTGCAATGGTATTATATATAAATTGCTTTGCGACTTCAAATTCATTTATAAAAGATTGACTATATTCATCTAAATCTTTTAAATCAATGTCTTCTAGCATGGATAAAAATTGACCACTTTGTTTTATGATTTGATGCACTTGATTAAATAATTGAGCCATATTATTAACATTTTTTGATGATGCATTATTATTTAGTGAAGCATCTCGTATACTGTTGATGTCACTCATTAATGAATTTATTGTTTTGAAAATAAATTTCGAATTTTGATCAATAGAAATAACCAAACCATCAGTTAGATGTTGCGATGGAGCTGTAAAACCATTTGAGTCGCTACCACTTTTATACTTTAATAGCAAAGAGGGAGTTCTACGATGTCGATTGTTTGTTAACATTGGCCTTAAATTATTACCACGCCATGAACCACCATAAGAACTCTGTAAAATTCTAGGATCAACACGTCTGATTTCCACAATATTTTTTGAAATTTGAACAAATTGTTGGACAGCTTCAAGAACTTCATCCACATCATTCCTCAATTTTTGATTTGAATCGGGAGGAGGCCATACACCAGCAGCTATTTTTGTGCTTAGTACCAGTTTTGATAATGATGCCATTATACGTCTATGAAAAAGTTTTAAATTTTTATTTTCTCGGATAGTATATGATTCTTTATCAATTGTACCGGATGCATAAAGCATAATCCGAATCCTTTCAACAATAGAATTGGTACAGACGATGAATTCATGTTTAGCATTCTCTTTAGCAGCATTGTGTAGTTGTTGAATAGATAAAATAATGCTAGATAATAATGAATCCCAATTGAGTAGTTCATTTGTCATTATAATCAAAGGTTCTGGTGAATATATTGATTGATCTGAATAACCAGGAGCCAAACCAGTTTCATTTGAATTATTTTCATTATTTTGTATCTATATATATATATAAAAAGATGTTATTATTTAATTTTTTAAAAAATTTTTAATAATAATAATAATACAAACCAATTGACCACCAGAATCTACGTTTTCCAGACTCCAAATAGTTTCTTCATTTGTTTGATTGTAATAATAATCTTTGCCTTGTGGAGTAGTTCTTTTACTCCAATTAGGCGGAAGCTTGCTGTCATCATTATTGTTATTCAGTTGTTGTCTTTGTTGAATTGTTCCTATGGTACTTGTACTAAGTCTACTACCTCGAGAACTAGCTAAACTTTCTTCGTCGGCAGCATCAAGGTCATCATTTGCCACTACTTCTTCTTCAATTGAAGTTATATGAGAAACAATTCCATCTCCATCAATATCATTAGAAGTAGTGATTATTGAACCAGAGGGATGAGTCCATCGAATCTCTTGTGTTTGAATATTTAAATAATAATAGGTAGTACCATCTTCTGTAGGATGCTGTATCCAATTTTCAGGTAATGGTCTATTTTGACTTGCTAAAATATCGATTGAACCAGATAAAGAATCTAGAGATCTCGATGCACGATGATGATTTGAAGTTGTGCTAGCTATTGAGGCGTGGCGAGAGCGTACTGACCTCCTGTTGTTATTTTGAACGATGATGGGTTCAATGTCATCATCATCATCATCTTCATCAGATGGTGCGTCCCATCTAGATTCACCTGTATGAACATTATAATAAAACATCACACCATCGGGTGTATGCTGTACCATCCAATCCGAAAACTGACAAAAAAATTTATTTATTATTATTATGATTAAAAAAAAATGAGAATATAAATTGTGCAAATATAAAATAATCACTTTATCTCCCTCCAAGTCCAAGTCGAGTCCTTTTTTATCATCTGCAACATCGTGACATTCTGTTGTAACCTCCACCTCTATATCATCAATATCCTCGTCATTTTCAGTAGTCACATAATTACTAGGAAACCAACCACGATGACCATTACATAAACCATCCCACCACCCAGATTCTAACTGAGTAAGCACTTGTATTTTATCGTTTTTTCGAAATGATAAGCTTGAATGTGTTTCTGAATTAAAATCGTATAACGCTCTGACAAAAAAGGCCGACATAGTATAACATTAAATTAAAAATATATATATGAAATCTCTTATAATTAAATAATACGATCTAAAAATTAAGGTTTTTATTATATTTATAAGAAGTTTTTAGTAGTTATTTATTAAAAAATTTTTCATATTTTAACATTAAAAAAGAAATTACAAAGATTACAAAGGAATTATTAATATTGTTAATAATAAATATGCATTGTGTACTAAAAAAAAACTAAATATTAATATCGGGAAACTTGAACAATTTGAGAAGTCGAAAATTTTTCCATATAAGACAATAAAATTTCCTTTATTAGGTTTGAATGTGGATCGTTGCCTTTTTAGGAAGAAGCATAATTAGTCCCTTTCAAATACATAAACAAACATAAAACGTTTTTGCTTCAAAAACTGCTTAAAGTTTCAAAAACAATAGCAAATCTTTTAATAATACCAATATTTTTTCCAAAACAACATTTTCAACGTTTTTTATAAAATAATGATGCAATTCGCGATATTCATGATGTGTTACACTTATTAAACTAGGTATATATGGTCGTGTAACATAACCCACGGATATTAATGAATGAATGCCACGCATATTAATATTAATAGTAATAATATTAGTATATTAAATTTACTTTTTTTGGAGAAGATAATCACATTCACAATCAACAATTCAGCCAGCACGTATGATGAGTTTTCAACGTCCTCCTCGTTTTTCAATTAAAAGAATCCTACTTTGGTCACACTAAAACACTTACCACCCTTTTAGTATAAGATAGTCATATTTCTACTCAATCAAAGAATTTATTGATGTAACAGGGGTGCAGCGATGTGCATTGGAAGAAGTTGGAAGTTCCAATGGAAGGTTTTGGCGCGTTCTTCAATTTATCACGTGAATAATTTTTGATTGGACAATAGTGTTGATGACGTAAGGCTTTCACATCACTGCAGAGGTGAATTAAAATATTAATCGTTATTGGCAAGCTTTACTTAATATTAAGATAAGCAGAATGACAACGAAATCTTTGATGAATGTCCTTTTTAGGAAAACCAATTTTTTACACCAGATGGCATATGGAAGGTTTTTAAAGAAGATGTAATTTCTTCATCTTGGACTCACCAGGGAAGGTTTCGCCCTAATTTGGTTAAAAAAATATATTAAAATATGCGCATTGAACATATATATAACAAATGTTTAGTGGCAGTCATTAGTCTTAAATGGGTCTTGATACACCTTCTAGCATTAGAGATCAGCGATAAATTAAATATCATTGTAAAAAAGAAAAATTAAAGATCAACAGATCGGAAAAGAAGTAGTGATAGAGATGAATATTCATTCATCGATGGTATTATAATCAAGTGAGAAAATGCCTAAAATAAAAATATGACTGTCGCCTCACCATTAATCAATCGTCTTGGTGAGTTCCAATCAGGAATCCCTAAATCACTTGAAAATTAAGTTTAAACACTAATCAAAGTTCTAAATTCTAATTTTTTAAATCCACGTCCTTTTATTATATACTTTTTTAAATAAAATTACAAATAAAGGTATTACATGATATATATATATATATATATATATATATATTAATAGAATATTATTTAATTATTTAAATTGATAAAATGCCCGAAGCTTGTCTCGCCAACATACGACCACTAAATTGTAAGGTATTTGAACCTCCAGGAAAATAGGATACAAGATACCTAAATAATAATAATTGATTAATTAACTATTAAATAATAAATAATTCATCAAAAGAATTTAATAAATACCATAAAAGAGCAACAATTTGTATTATACAAAAGATAAGTGTGAGAATTGCACTCTTCAGCTACAATCAATCGATAATAAATAAATAAATTTATTTCATTGTAAAAAATCGTTTATTAATTTAAATTTACCCCAATTGCAAAGTACAATGTTGCAACCAATGATCCAAAGTATGCGATACTAAATGGGAGTCGTTCACGAGAAGTAACATGTTTAAGGTACGCCATTGGACCATGTAATAATGCAAAACTTTTAAAAATAAAAAAAATAAAATTATTAGACAGACAACATAGCCTTGAAAAAACAATATATAAAATGTATGAATAGTTTTATTAACCTTATTATTATCATAACACTTCCTACTGTATACGTTGCTGCAAATTTTCTAGGTTTTATAGCCAACAATGGTAACGTTAAAAATGCCTATAAATATTAGATTCATGATAATAATTATTTTTTGTTTAATTTAAAGAAAGACCCCAGCTTAAAATTAAAGGAAATTTTAACATACTATTAAAAATAAAAATGCCCCACCAGCAAAAAATACACCAAAACCTATAAATCTCTGAGAATTTAGACAATAAACAATAAGATTACTATTATTAATTTCCAACAGAACAGATGCTGCTCGTACTTGTAATTACTAACCTGCCACTTACTTAACGCATACCATGGCTCTTCTACTTCAGCATTATTTAAAGGTAAATAACCTTGAACTCTATTACCAATGCTACCAAAAAAACTTGATGTATTTCCTGTTAATCTTGAAAAGGGAGAAGCGTTGTTATTATTATCACCAATGTTTAAAGTAGCGGATGTAGATGTGTTATTTGCCCAACTAAAGGAACGTAAGGACTCGCGAAACTGTTGTTCGTTAGATGCCATTTTTTAAATCAAAAATTGCAAAAATTGATAATTATTGTTCTGCCAACTACCGAGTTCCACACTAAAAATTTTGAAGTATCATGTGATCTACATGTGGAGAACCCCGAACAATCAACATTTGAAAAAAATACCCACTTTATTCCCATTTTTGGAAATAATTTACAAGAACATCACAAATTTATCCTATTTAAAAAATGATATTCGATTTTGAAGGCTATTTCTACCCAAACCTACCATCTTTTAAGAATTGTTCGGGATCCTGCTGAAATCAATTTCCAAATTTGGTAAAATCCCTGGCTGTAAAAACCAATACTTGACACAATAAACTTTTTTTTGCATGATTATGTGCAACATGTAAAAAGCAAGTGAGTTTGACTTAAAAGTTCGGACTTTCAACTAAGTAATTATATATAGGTATGACTGTATATACTTTAGCGTCAGTATTATACTTCAATATTCGCTACTATCTTCGATGTCTCACCTTTGGTTTCGAAGATTGCAAAAGTTTGTAAGAAACATCTCTTCCGATAGTAACGGGTCATCAAATGGTAAGGTAAAATATTCAATTTTTTTGGTAGGACATCGTAAACTGATATTTGTTAATGAATAACATACTTTATATAGCACTCTTGAATATCTGACACGTAATGCACTAGGTATTGGTACTGCGATTAGCATTGGGACTAGAGATGTGATCCGCGGATATCCGTCATCCGTTCATCCGTCATTTATCTCTAGAAATCAATCCGTCATCCGTTAATTGCTCAAAAAATACATCCGTCGGATTTAAACGGATTATTCGGATTATCCGTAAAATTGAACGGATCACCCGGATTGTATGGATTATCTGCGGTTTGAACGGATAATTCAGCAATATTAGTATTAGTATTCGATCACGTGTGCGTTACCATTTTGTAATGCCGATAATAAAATGTTACAAAAAGAGTAGTAATGCTAATACGACGTCAAGTCGCTCCAAACGAATACTATTCTATGGTAAAACAGGGGGGGAGTTGTGCATTGTAAATAATTTAAGTTTTTTATATGTATTACATATTTCTAATCAATTTTAAATTAATAAATGTCACAACAAGATTACGTTGTTAAAAAAAATTTAATTAATAATAATATTTCATTTTTTTCAAAACACTTCCACGCAAAACCATGCATTACAATTCGTTTTTTTAAAGGTCTTCTGGAACCACAGCTTAAATCATTGGAACTCGAAGCCAATAAAACTATTGGACTTTGTATCTCATCAACAACAACACCCGTCATCATCATATTGATGGTATTGATACTTTTCCACATAGAAATTTTACATTTTGAATGATAAAACACAAAAATCGGAATAATAATATTAGCATATATTTTTTTTTTTTTTTTTTTTGCTAAAGTGAGGCCTTGAAATCACGTTTATTTATTTAAAATTTAATGCATTATTAAAAATTTACAAATTTTTACACGTAATCCTACTCCAATTAACCTATT